ACACACACACACACACACACACACACACACACACACACACACACACAGGCAGGTTTGATAAATAAACTTATACACATTTAGTATCATGCAGCTCTGATGTCCGGCTTTATGAAGCGATTCTGAAGTCATGAATCCAAGCTGCTGTATACACGTACCCAGTTCATTCTGGCCAGGATTAAAAAGTCTAATAATTGTTTAATTGAAAAATTGTATTGAAATCAGTGTCAGATAAGCAATAAAATATAATTTAATCAAATAATCAATTAATAACAATATAATTGGTTAAAATATTGGAATCGGCATACATGCAGTTAACAGCCTTTCTTCAAGTCGCCTGCACTGGAGGGATGGAGGCATTGTTATTTTCAAAAAGATCTATCCATCCATCCATCCGTCTATCTATCAAGTAGATGCAGGACAAGTAGACCCAGATTATGCCAATGCAATGCATGACAGAGCCACGGGGTACCTTAACTGTAGGATTCATAGGCTAAGGTGGTTTTTTTTTATCTTTTAATTTGTCATATTTATCCTACAACATCACTTGCTTAGTTTGGTGAGACAGAAGTCGTATGAAATATGTTGATAAAGAAAAGATTAAATTAAAACCTGGCTTACTGTTTACTGGTACAGTCACTGTTTACAGACTGTTCACATACAACAGGGAATAAGTATAAAAGGGGTGATGCTCAAGGTTTACAGTAACCAAATAAATACACCTTGGGTGCAGAGATGGTTTTTATAGCTTTAAATAAAAATAAATTATAATTATTTGTTAACATTTATAATTAGCAACGTGCAGCATAGCTGCTCTTAAAAACCCATTTTAATGCCAAATATTAAAAAACTGTATTCTAGATACATTTTCATGAAAACATTTATCGTATTAGTGTAAAAGTCCAATGAACTGTTTGATTCTGACTTTTATCCAACACACACAGCTCACCCAGCTCCGGCTTCTATTGCTGATGGTGCTTTCTCAATAAAAGCCATGACCAGTTCCAGTTAATGTTTTCAATATTGTTCCAAAAGGAGGTACCAGACTGTCAGCTGATAGTATTTCTGATGATTTTGTTGGATGCTTTGCAGCTGATGAAGGTGCATTCACGGTCAGCATAAACGGTGTTTGGATGGTGTGTTTACCTGTGGGACTAGCTAAATGTTTAAATGCACCAATTCATCAAAAAAAAAAAGTCATTGTTTTGTCTTGATACTGTAGGAACTTGAAAGAGACATAAATTTTGAGTATAAAGGTAACAAACCATCCGGACTAAGGATGGTTCCTTTACCAAGCCAGCTGTTGTTAAAAAACGTCTTATTTTGTTTTTTATTATCATTGTTGTTCCAGGTAAAATATTTAGATAGTAAAATGATGGGTTTGTACAATGACCAGCCCAATAACGTTTGTGAGGGGAATGTAAGATATAGTGAAATAAAAGCTAGTCCTCCACCTGAGTTAAATAGATGAAGTGTTATAGCATTTCAAAGTGGTTTTTTAACATATAAGTTTAAATAAGAATTGAAAAACTCAATGGCATGATTAAAACGAACTCTCCACTGCAGAGGTTATGTAGCGCCTTATCATTCTCAATCCAGTGAGCAAAAATGAACCAATCAAACCCTGGCGTCCCGAGTCCTGTAGCACTCACATCATTCATCATTTCACAATGTATTTTTTTTGTCTAAAATCTGCCTGAGATAGCTCCTGCACAATAACAGCCTTGCAGTCAGAAAGAAATCAATTGTTTGATAATGATCAGAATGAACAATGCAAACTGAAATACCCTCAGAAATGTCCCCACATCTTTGTTTTGTGTCTGCCTTCAAACAATCAGCATTTCCAATAATCTCTCTTCTTTTTCAGTTACATTACAACAACGAGTGTAAGTTCAGAGAGACGCTCCTTGCCAACAACTACAATGCTTACGAGTCAGTTGCCTACCCAAGGATGTTCATCGGCCTGAGTAAGAACGGCAAAACAAAACGAGGAAACAGAGTGTCACCCGCCATGACAGTGACACATTTCTTGCCAAGAATCTACTGGCCTCATAAATAGACCACCTCAATTTTGAGATTCGGGAAGAACTCCAACATGAGATGCACTTTCACTCTAAGTTTTATGCAAGTGTATCATATTTGATTTTCTGCTATGTATATATTCATTTTTTATATATCTGTGCCTGAAAGCTATTTTCTATTTAGGAAGTCTTTTTCACTGTTGGTAGGAGATGTAAAATGTGTTATTTATGCTGCTCTTGTCATTGGAAGATTTGCTTTTAATTAATTAATTTATTTATTTATTTTTCTGACACAGGAAAAGGGAACAGCAAAATACAACATTTAGAGCTTTAATATGTTCTTTTTTCTGTCTATGCTTGAAAAAAAACAAACGAGTTTCTTTGGTGTGAGAAACAGCACTGATTGCTTAATGCTCCAACTCTTTGTGTGAGGCACTGGACCCTAATTGAAACAGTATCATATTACTAAAGGAAGAGAGAGGATGGAAGGAGGGGAGAGTCTAAGACCCCTATCAACCACTTCTGGTCTGTTTATAGCTCTGCCAGCGGGATGAACTCTGAACTTTTGTGCTGTCAGTCTCAGTGAGATCTATAAGTCGCAAAGAGAGAGAGGGATCCTCTTTGATGTCATGTTAGTAGATAATATGGAGGTTTAAAGGCAAAGTGAAAAAGCTGAAATTGAAGTGGGCTTCATGATACTGCATTTGTGTCTGTTTGGACATCTGGTTACGCAGAGTGAAGGATTTTGGGTATGCAACCAAAGCATGCATGCACATAGACCAAAGGGGATGACACTGTGCATAGGTTGAAAGCTAACTGGTTGCGTAGTGTGCCTGAACAGCAAAGGAAGCAGCAGTGAAGTTCACCACATAGTTGCCTGAAAAGCAAGGGCAGTGCCTGAATAAACTCTTTTCAACACCAAGGTCCTTTACTGCATTTTTATGCAGACTTGCCGATCTTCTTTTAAGCACATGCGTTTGCTCTTGCCCTGGTGCGTAACAGCACCAATGCAAAAGAACACTTTAAGGTCTCTTCACCACTCTGGGAACTCTGAGAAGAGGTCACAGTAGGACTATTGTTTATCTAATGTACTTGTCTGATAGATATGTAAAAGGGAAGTAAGGAGTGGCTCTGATAGGTTTAGGACAGTGAAGGAAAGTGTCAGTCTCTTGTCTCCACTAATACTGTATGTCAAGACTATCCTACTTTTATAAATGAAAAATAACTCAGGTTAAAAAAAAAAGTACTTTCCAGTAATTGTCACTTACAGTTACTGTGTAAAAGTATTTCTTTAAAATCATTTTTCTTCCACATTTATTTTATGTATGATGATGTAAAACTTTACAATCTTTTTTAAAGTTTGATAGTAATATTGATGCCAATCTACTGTTAGTAAATATATCACTTAAAAAATGAAAGGAACACTTCAGCTGTCAATAGGAAAAAAAATCATGCTGATATGGACTGGGTAATGTGTTAGGAATGAAAGGATGCCTGATTGTTTGATAAAAATGAAAATTATGAACATACAGAGGTCTGCATTCCCTAAAAATCAAAGGGAAAACAAAAGATCCAGCACGCTAGTCCGTTTTGACGAAATGTTATTGCAGCAACCTAAAACGGTACTCAGTAGTTTGCATGGCTCCCATGTGCGTGTATGCATGCCTGACAATGTGCTACTAATAACAGATTAAAGATCTCCACCGAGATCTGGATCAGGACATCACTGAGCTCATGGGCAGCCTGAGGTGCAACCTGGTGACATTGGATGGACTGAAACAAAACGTCCTAGAGGAGTTCTATTGGATTTAGGTCAGGCGAGCGTGGGAGCCAGTCAGTGGCATCAATTCCTTCATCCTCCATGAACTGCCTGCATACTCTCACCACATACAGCCGTGCTGTCATACACCAGGAGGAACCCAGACCCACTGGACCAGTGTAGGGTCTGACAATGTGTCCAAAGATTTCCTTCTCATACCTAATGGCAGTCAGGCCTGTTCTTTGCTCCATGGATATGCCTCCCCAAACCATCCATGGTCCTGGACAGTGAGCATGGGGCCTACCAGTAGATTTCTCATTGTGTGTCAAAGACATTCACACCATTGGCCTGCTGAAAGGTCAATTTGTAGCCTTGGCAGTGCTCATCCTGTTCCTCCTTGCACAAAGGAGCAGATACTGGTACTGCTAATGGGATAAACCTTCCAGTCATTCTTGTTTTGGGGGTTGTCTCATTGTTGCCCCTCTAGTGCACCTGTTGTTAATTTTATTAACACCAAAGCAGCTGAATCTGATTAACACCTCCCTCTGCTACTTAACTGGCCAGATCAACGTCCCAGATGTTTAATTAACTTGATGTTATACTTGGATTAAAAACTGCTCCTTTTATTTTTTTAAGCAGAACTGAACTAGCTGCACTAAGCTAGCTAGTTCAGCTTACTGCAGCTAGCTAGCTAGCTAGCTTAGTGGAGCAATTGAACTAGCTAGTTCAGCTTAGCTTAAAGTCAGCAAATTTCATCAACCAGCATGCCTGATGCTCCCTGACCAACATGTGTGCTGTTGGTTTAATTTATGTTTTCCTGGGATAATGGCATCAGGTGAACCACAAATAGGCCAACAATGTTGTACACCTTAGCTTATTAAAGTAATCTAAACAAAGATACAATAGTACAAGTGAGATTAAGAGGTAGTGAGGTTGGTTTTCTGGTGCATTTCACCAGCTGTTATTTCCACACGCAGTGCTAATAAAAGAAAAAAATCCTCTCCATCCATCCATTTTGGAGAAAATGCTCTGAAAAACTCCGTCGCTCTTCTGGAACAATCTCTACTTCCTTTAAGTGAATTTGTCTTTTATTTTCCTCTGTATCAACGATCACTTTCAGGTGTTGATTTAACTTCCTGTAGCATTAGCTGTCCCACCTGGCTCAGTTTTGTGTCTATTTTTGCCAAACCCTGTCTTCCTTGCATTTGTCTCTGTCTCTCTATGTCCCTGTAGTTGACTGCAGCTCAGCACTGTTGGTCATGTTGTCCTAGTTGCTCCTTGTCACGTTCCAGCTATCTTTACCCTGTGATTTACTTTTAGAAAGGATAATCATGGAAGAAATATTTACAGACAGCTGTTGGACTGTACTATATGCTAGGGCCAGTAACCCTATATTTTTCTTTATATATTTTGTAAATATAACCTCTGAGTAACTGAAGGTGCTGGTATTCCTTTCAGGGGGGAGGGTCAGATTTAGAGCAACTGAGTGGTGTGGTGGATACTGCCTGAAGGCAAAAGGTGCTTTTAATTTGTTCACTTTTATGCAGTCATTGAACAACGTCACCAAACATCATTAACCAAGTTTAACAAACACAGAGGAGAAAGGCGACCTCTTCTTACTTGCTTTAGTTTTTCTTCTCTTGCCTGTTTTCTCATTCAGCCTCTTTGTTGAGAGCTTTGAAATCTCAGTTTCAACATTCCACATACGATGGCGCATACTGTAACCAACTGATTGCTGTTTCAGATTGAACCATTTTCATCACTGGGTTACGGAGCCTTCAGTAGAAGTTACACTTGATTAGCACATGGTAGAGTCACACTGAATGCACACGCTAACTACTGCAAATAGTTCAGGCAAATATTATGCAAACTGTGTCTGTTGTGGCTTTATGTCCTGATCTCTGGAAACAGGCATTAATCCCAAGACTGACCGAAGCACTGCAGCATCGCTGTGATTTACACTTCAAAAGAAGTGTATAGAAACTACCAAGTCACTCTCTGCTTGTCCTCAAACATATGTTACAGTGTGATGTTTGGACATCCATTTGGATGTCAAAGTTGGACAGCAGTGATTTAAACAAGTATACTGCTGTGCCTGTTGCTCTCAGCTAGGTTAAGTATTCTCCAGTATCACTGATTTGCATGGCAGGCATTATATGTACAGTAAAATACCTTTCTGCCTTGTGTCTCTAACCTAGGGCCATCCCTCTGTCCCACCTGCTCATTTGATTATCCAAGCAACAGCAGTGCAGCCTGCAGCTAGTACAAAGTGAGCAAATACTTTTTCACAGCACTGTAAACTCTGGTTAAAGTATGCAAATTGCTCACAGCAGGTTGAATATAAATGCTGACATGCGGCCTGTTTTAGACTGAGGCATTACAGAAAGATGCACTGATTTTATTTATGGTCAAAAGCAACCGAACCCCCACATTTCTTTGCACGTTACTGTTAAAGTAGCTTTTATTTTTATTCTTATTTTATCAATGTGGCTCAATCCATTCAGATGTAACTAATTATACTTTTGGGACTGGATTTCTTTGTTCAAACTGGTTTATCATGAAGTACAAAACTGGTGATCTGTGATTGTGTGCTGCTTCTGGGCCACTGTTCAGAAAAAAATGATGACATGATCCTGTACTACGTTTGATTCTGAGTCAACCTACTTTTATCCGATGTCCTGTGGTTTTATACAGGACTTAATAAAGTATAATACAGTATGTGCTGTACACATGGTTAAAGTCCACCGTAAGGGGAAACCCGATCCCCTAAATGTAAAGTTTATGATTGTCTGTACTGTATAATAAGCTTTGATCAATCTGACATTCACATATAAAAATGCAGTATGTATATATGACATGGCATTACACGCGTGTATTCATGTTGTGGGGCAAGTACATAAAACATAACATTTGGTCTCCTCTCTGCAGTAGTTTGTGGCTCATCTTGTTTAATTTTCATGGCCTCTGTGCTCATTTGTTTTGGTTTCTCTTTCCCCTCACACACCCTAACTGCTCACAGCAGATAACCACCACTAGCCCAGTTCTCCTGAAATTGTCTTCCTGTTAAAAAGGAGTTCATTTTCTCCCGCACTGCCATGTTCTAGGTCAGGGATGATCAACAGATCGTTGTAGCTCCATCCATAATAACACAGTACCTTTATCACACAATGTAAAGGAAGTGGAGATATGATTGGGTGGTAACGCTGAATTAAACTGCAGACCTCTGTAAAATACAGGAATTAATTTCTACTTTCCAGGCAATTTCTGCCTTTTTGTTAATATTATCAAAATCCTATTTGTTAGAGGTGTTAAAAGCTCTACACCAGGGTGTCAAACTCATTTTAAATCGCGGACCCACAGCCCACTTTGATCTTAAGCAGGCGGGAGCAGTGAAACTCTCCTTTCTGTCAGTGTAAAGAAGTTACATATTTAACTGTGACAAAGGAAGAAATCTGTCAGCACGACCCTTTGGACGTAAATTGTAAGAAATAAATGTGTAAAATTACAGAAAAAGTCCTGGTAGCTCATTATCCATCCTGTCCAGTTTGTTTGTTTTTCTTAGTCATAAAAAACAGACATTTCTATAGCAGAAAGTGAAAAACAGAAACGTTTCGGTTTTTCATAATGTTACAGAGGGTCGTTTTGTAATTTGGGGTAAATGTTTGACAGTTGACATTTCTTCGGTATTGCATAACCGAAATTAGGCTTTCTTGTCATAGGTCATTTTGGGGAAAAAAATAAAAAAATGAAAATAAAGAAACAGGCCGACAACAGTAGACTGGTGTGTAATAAGTTGAGTTTTGGTCCAAGAGTAACGAAACCTGCAGTTTCACAATCTGTAAGATGTCAGCTTTCAGTGTTTGACAGTATGTCCGTGTACGTGCCCTCAGGTGAACGATCCATGCTTCATGGAATTTTTTTTACCTGCTCTTTAATCATTTGTAGTTTTAGCTGTTAGTGGTTCTTGAAATTGTTTTGTGGTCTTATAAGAGTTTTGGACGTTTCTGTGGATACCACACAATTCTATGTTTTTACTAACAGATCTGGCGGTACATTACGTAAACCACATGTTCTCCCTTTCAGGCACTGGGGATCAACAGGATAACTGTTTATTACCGTGAGGTTTTTATGAGTAGGAAAAACTGTAAAACTTGTGAAAATACAGGTAAAAGTCCGACATTTCTGCTTGTGCTTGTTTGTGGTGAGCACCAGATCAAACAAGTTAAGAACTATAAATGGGTTCAAGTGCACATTCAGGCCTGTGAGACTCACTCACACTGAGCCATGGTTCTGTGCTACATGTAGACATTTCTGTATCTCTGCCAGTCAAAGACACTTTGGATAGAGTTTATTGTATGTAATATTCAATACTGAACTTACATACATTGGGTTTAAGGCCTGGACAAGTTTTGAAACCTTTTGTCCTCCACAATGGCAAATGGCTGAAAAATAAAACTGTGATTGGCTGCATGGTGTG